ATAAGCTGAACGGACGGAGATGCAAAAAATTTCTCTTGAGTCGTTTTATCACTGCTGGAAGAACACTGGGTTTACTCCCTTGGAAGAGCTGCCGTTTGGATTCGTTTCTTTAGAAGATTTGGGCCGTTGCAAAGTGGACTTGTTTTCTAGCTTCTCCCGCACTTTTTTAGATCGTCAGTGAGAGTATCGTTTGTTTGCGTCGTTTGCAGTACAGGAGCTGCAAGCCTTCTGTACGTTGGTGTGCTCGAAGCGAGCAGAGTTGTTCATGAGCAGGGCTCATTTCTCTTCCTCTTGCTTTCACTAAAATTTATGGCTACAACGATTCGTCTCCTAAAAAAATGTGAGGCACCCACACACACATACGCACTTTTGCTGTGCAGAGTTTCATGTCGTCCATACCAGGCTTTTTTGAGTGCTGCAAACCCTAAACGTTGCAAATCTGCGAGGGTTTCGAAAAATGCTGGGAATTTTTGGAATGCACCTGTGTAGGAGAGAAGCTAGTGGAGGTGAGATTCTCTCCCAGTTTTCAAACTCACTGTTGTATATTCCCACCCAAAAAAATTGCTTTCTTCCTCTCCCTTTCTCTTGCACACAGTGGTATAATAGAACAGAATCCTCCGTATCAGTGAGAGCCGGTGACATTCGGTGGTAGTCGGGATGGCAGTGGGTGCCAACAGTCGATGAATTCTACTTCCAGCGATTGCTGCAAGACAGACTGGTGGTAGTCCCTGGCACCAGTTTAACGTCGATGGGGCGTATGAACGTATCGTAGCGGCACTGGTTATAGTGCTGGCCAGGTTAAACCCTCGACCGCTACACCGTAAGTACTGGCTTTCGCCACTGCACCATATTTTAAGTTGCGGCAGTTAAAACTCTTCATAATTGCTGATTCGCAATGGGACATGATGTTGGGCTGCGGGGGAGGTGCATTTCAGGATGTGTTTTTGGCAATGATGGATCAGAAAGGAATTCATGCTGGAATTATTGCTTGAAGAAGGGCTGGGAAGCATTCTGGGGCACATGAAATTAGTCAGCTCGTTGAGAGGCATCCTGGGACCTGCGAAGTGAGTCAGCGCAGTGAGTAGC